ATTTTCTTCTTGTTATGTTTGTTATGTTGGTTAGAGGTGTTTAGCACGTGTCATTTTCTTTTGATTGTTATAGGCTGGAGCTCCCTTTATAAACCCTGTACTGTTCCTTTTTTCAATTGCTTTAATGAAGAATCTGTTTCCTTTCATTTCACTCCTTCATCTTCTCTGCGTATCAATGAACTCCAACATGCACTCCCAAAACAAATGCTCAAATGTCTCTTCTTTTTTCCCACAGTTTCCACAATCTGCTTGAACTTCCAGATATCTCCTTAGTCTGCTTCTAATCTTAGATAAGTATAAAAGTGATTGATAAAGAATATGAGTAGGAGGGAGTGAGTTGAGAAGATATGGGTTTAGAAAAAGTGATAAGAAAATAAATAATATTGTATTTTTAATGACTTAGTTATATTAAAAAAGAAACTTAATTACCAATTTTTGAACAGTGAGACTTTAATTTTAATACAAAAAAGTAGACCCAAAACTGTTCACCAGGGAAGCTTTCTTAGCCTATTAGCCTTACCATAAGGCCCGTAGAATTTCCAAAGGAGACAAGAGAAAGCTGTGCATGTATTTGATGAAATGCAATTGTCCCCACACAAAGGCAAATCCCAGTTTTTTTTAAAAAAAATCAATAATTTTAAACTTCCCTTTCTACCCTAATAAAACCCTAACCCAGTACTACTACTACATATGCTATCTTTCTTCATCTTCTTACAACAAACAAACATCACACACAAACAAATTGAATCTCTCAAATGCCCTTCAGAAAGCTCCATCATCAATCAAGCCTGAAGAACCTGGCAGTGAACGATGTGGCTCTTCAGGCGGCCCCGCCCCGCGATGCTCGACAAGAAGTTCGTCACCCGGGTCTTCAGCTGCTGCCCCCCTTTCCCCCCTATGTTCTCCCACACGCTCTCCTCCGCCGCCGCGCCGCCGCCACTGCCGCTGCCGCACTTCGCCACGTCGACGAGGGAGATGCTCATGTTGTTCCTCACGACGCACAGCTTCCCGTTCAGCGGGAGCAGCGCGGCCGCCTCCCACGCCTTGGTGGTCCCCAGGTGCATCTTGCTGTCGGCGTGCTTGGCCCAGGAGCCCGACGCGTCGTCGTACACCCGGAGCCTGCACCCGTCCCGGCAGTCCACGGCGTACAGCCGCCCGTTGAGGGCCGTGCTCGGGTTCCTCCACCCCGACACCATCCCGTCATGGACCGGGTCCCACGCGTCGGCCTCCGGCTCGTAGACCTCGCTCACGACCTCCCGGTGGACGCCCAGCCCCTTCAAGAACCACCTCCCACCGTACACCACCCCGATGAAGGGCACCATCGGGGTGCTGACGTCCGCGATGAACGACCACCGGTTCTTGTTCGGGTCGTAAACCTCCGCCGACCTCAGCGACCCGTGGACCCCCTCGTTCTCTCCCCCGGCGACGTACAAGCAGTTGTTCATCACGCAAAACCCGAAGAAATGCCGCCTCCGGAGCATGTCCGGGGCCCGATGCCATTTGTTCGTCCGGGCGCTATAAAACACCACTCTCCTCATGGACCCCTTGACCGGGTCTTTCCCGCCGAACAAGTACAGCTGGCAGCCACTGAGGACCGCGCACCCGAACCCTAACGCTTCGGAGTATTCTTTGGGCACGGGCGGGAGCGGGACCCACGCCTGGTGCACCGGATCAAACGCGTGCCACGACACCTTACCCTCCCTGTCTCTCTTGATGACATAAACCCATTCCTCCGCAACCTCGACTTTCTTTCTGAGTGAGTAGTAGAAGTTGCCAGCTAAGAGACGGGACCATCTTTTACAGACGAGACGGAGCTTGGGGTGGTCGATCCTTGGGACGCGGATCAAGCAGGCGATGGTGAGGTCGTCGGGGAGTCCGGGAATAAGTGGGGCCTGCGTCCGGTTTTTGTCGCGAGGCTGTCTCCGTCGCGCGGGGTGGATGGAGGGTTTGATGGCTGGCTGGAGACAGAGTTTTGACCCAGGCACGTACCGTTTAGCACCCGCGACCGTTTTGAGCCCGGCATCTACTCTACAAAGACAAGCCGTTGAATCAACCTGAAGAGGAACCCCAAAAAAAAACTAACTGTGACATGTAGTAAAGGATGACAAAAAGGTTGTAAAATGTGTGTTGTTTTGGGTTACGATTCTAGGCAACATTTGATAAACCATAAAGCTATAAGTTGCACTCAGACGGAGACTTGACCGGAAACATAAAAACATCAACTTTTCCAAATTTTATACAACACTTATTTGAAGAAGTCATGCAACAGAGTCATAAACTAATGGAATGTGACAAAAATACTAGGTACGTTTTTTTGTATAAATTTATGTCGCAGATTACCAAACATTGCCCTAAAGAAGTAAAGCATTGCCCAAACTAGATCGTTTCATGAACAGAGTATAGGCAGCATCCAAACACGCCCTATATGATTTCTTGATTTTATTATGTGGGGAGTAACAGAAGAGGCTGGGAACCAATTTACTGCCAATTCATTACATTGATTAGCAACTTCTGAATACAAAGGCAAAGGGTAGACCTACACTGTTTGAATTATGAAACTCAATGGAAAAAGGAAAGCTTCTTTCCACTTAGGCTATGTATGGTATGGTATTTGGGGGGGGGGGGGGGGGGT